TTATAATCGTCTATCAAACTCCAAAAACACAATAAAAGTAGTTCATGTGCTCTATATTCAAGTTCTGACATCTAATTTAGGTTATTTATGGAATATCCCTCGTGTGGCGGCTCTCAAATCTCATTCTTCATTCTATATATTTGAACATATGTGAGAACTAATGATGTTTGGCGTTAATTATGTCAGTCTCAGTGCAGTTGCACATGAGATTTCAGAGTTTCTGTGAAAGGGAAGATTATCACTAAATAAAATCAGTATCAAAAATGCAGATATAGTCTGGAAGTTCAGTTCATTTCTGCAAATTACTATTACTATATTAGAACTGTGCATTTCAGTGAAAAATTGATTCAGCAGTTTATTTGCATAATTATTCAAGAATGTAAGACTCTGCGTGCTTTTAAAGGTTTTAGTAAAAATATACACTACTGTTCAAAAGTTGTTGTTGTTTTTTTTGGAAAGAATTCTGCTCACCAAGGCTGTAATTTATTTGATCACGAATACTGTAAAAAAAAAAAAAAGGAAAATATTATTACAATTTGAAATATTTATTTTCTATTTTAATATATTTTAAAATGTAATTTATTCCTGTGATCAAAGCTGAATTTTCAGCATCATTACTCCGGTCTTCAGTGTCACATGATCCTTCAGAAATCATTCTAATATGCTGATTTGCTGCTCACGAAAATGTTTTGATTATTATCAGTGTTGAAAACAATTTAAAAAATCACTATTATTGATGAATAGGAAGTTCAAAATAGCAGCATTTATTTATAGCGTAATGCCACACCACCACAAAACCTAGATATCCATCTACAGACATCTCCATATAAAGGACGTACAGCTTTTAGATCCTCAGAGCAAACAGACAGACCATTAGCAATTCTGAAACAAAATGTAGATATTTTGTTACAGGCGCCAGACAGACACACGGATCACGTCGCCGTCAAAGCTGCTGGATGAGCGCTGCATGAATGCATGGCATTCAGAGGTGCTGCACTTTAAACAACTTTTATTAGCTTTTTTTGTTTGAGGGAGCACTTTATACTGTATTATGAGTGTTGATATTTTATTGCAAAATGATGTGCTTTTGCTGAGTAAAGGAGTGTACAGCCTAGAAAGACAAATGCACTTGAAATGGACTTGGCTTAAATACAGTTTTGTGTGGAAAAGCAGCTTCACAACTAAAATACTGTTTGCCAAAGTTACTTATTATCTCTTCAGACAGTCAGAAACAGATCCAGATGCAGTTTTTAGTAAAGATGGAGCTCCAGTCGGCCCTGTTATGAAAGTTTGTTCTGTTGAAGCGCAAATGAAGGGAAGGTGATGTTGTGTCTCACTATTGTGTCTCACCCAGTTATAGCATAAATCACTACTGCAAGACCAACAGCAATCTGTGTTTTGAATGTGAGTGTGCTGGTGTCAACTCTAAACTGTTTAACTTGCTTAACCATCGAGATTTGAACTATCCAGAAAGAGCATGCTTTTGAATCAGCTTCACCAATCATGTCAACAGGTGAACAACACGGCTGTTCGTAATTGTTCAGAATGATTAGTCAACTAGGCAAAGTTTAGATTTCTATTTTTAACTAATTTATTTCAAGCTATTTTTAGTCTTTTTAGCAGTACAATGTAGAGATGCAACTTCATAGGAAAATACATTTCAGTGGGAAAAATAAAATAAAATTTGTATCCATCTGTCTATTTATCCATTTTATTTATTTAGTCTAATAAAAATAATTTTGCCTGTTTATAGAAATTAAGCAATGTTGTCTAATCCATGTATTCTCCAAACCTCTTGTCCTGTGCAGGGTTATGGGGATGCTGAAGCCTGTTTCAGATTTTTTTTTTTTTTGTGCAATAAAGAATTCTGTTTTTAAAAATAAGATTTTGCCTGATTATCATCCATCCATCCATTTTTGCATTCATTATTTTTTATTTATTTATTTTTTTTGTGCAATAAAGATAATTCTGTTTATAAAAATAAGATTTTGTCTGATTATCATCATCCATCCATTTTTGCATTTATTATTTAATTTTTTAGCTTTTATTTTTTGTGCAATAAAGATAATTCTGTTTATAAAAATAAGATTTTGTCTGATTATCATCATCCATCCATTTTTGCATTTATTATTTAATTTTTTAGCTTTTATTTTTTGTGCAATAAAGATAATTCTGTTTATAAAAATAAGATTTTGCCTGATTATCATCCATCCATCCATTTTTGCATTCATTATTTTATTTTTTTATCTTTTATTTTTTTGTGCAATAAAGATAATTTTGTTTATAAAAAATAAGATTTTGCCTGATCATCCATCCATCAATTTTTTGCATTTATTATTTTATTTTTTTAATCTTTTATTTTTTGTGCAATAAAAATAAATTTTCCTGTGTATAGAAATTAGGATTTTTTTAATCCTAATTATAATTCATCCATTCTATCCATTTTCCAAACCACTTGTCATATGTTTTATTATGTTATTTTATTTTATTTCATTTAGTTTAATTTAGTTTAATTTTATTTTTTTTATTTTTTTTTCATTTCCTTTCATTTCGTCTCATTTTATTCAGTTTCACTAGTAGAAGACTGTGTTTGGTATCTGTATATTACCAAAACATTTCTCAGTGTTAGTTGGGCATGACCCTAAATTCAATCAAATTTCCCTAAAAACACACATTCGTGCTGGTCTCTGTGTGTTTCGGCAAAGATGCTGAGTTTCTGGAAATAATCAGTCAGTGCATGCTGTTCTCTTGTCTCTCTTATTTTCTGTCTCAGTCTCTCCGCTTGTCTCCATTTATATCCGTCTCTCTCAGCACGCATGGTCCAGTTTTGCGCCGCTCACTCCTCCTTTGTTACCATGACAACCGCGATCCGTCCCGTAGGTGCTCCGGGGATTTGGCCGGGTCTTGCTCTCACACTCGCGTCCTCCGAGACTCTTCCCATTCAGAAACATCACCGGCGACACGTTACCGGCTCATGATTTCCCATGCCGAGATGAAAGCGCCGTAGCGTTCTGTAATGGTTTTTCATATTTAGAGTCGTAGTGAGTTAATTGCGGAGGGAGGCAGGGGAGAGTTTGGGTTCCTGTGGAAACTTGGATGCTTGGATGCTTTTGCCCTTTTTGCTTTTTTGTTTCAGATTTTCCCCTCCGTTCTTTCTGTCCTCGAGAAGTTCAAGTGCAGTTCAGTGTTTTGGGTTTGATCCATCTCATTCCTCTGTTGCTCAAGGTAGCCTAGTGTGATCCCAGAATGATTTCAGAACGCTAATGTCTGCATCCGTGTGTGTTTTCATGGGCAATTTCCTACCAGCTCTTGATTTACTAGGTTTTTTTTTTTCCTTTTTGAGGTAATATGCTTTCCTTTAGATAAGGAAAGCGGCCCGTATTTCATTTGCAGGTATATTTGAAGCTCAATGGCACATCTTATTGATAGTGACACCAAACAAAGACATCTTTGCTTCTCAAAAGGGAATTTCCATTCAGCTCAAAAGCGGCCAGAGAATCGGTTTTCCTTGGAAAACACAAAAGCTCGGTTCCACGAGCTGCCCACGTAGGCAGGATTTTAAGGCATCGAAGATGCATTTTTGACCTCAAAAGACTGTGTGATTATGCTGAGACACCAGTGCATGTCTGCTTTGTGGAGAGCACAACCCCATAATGCACCGCGACATGCTCACTGTCTTTTAGTCCACCAAAGATGGCAGATGAAGTGTCGAGAAATGTTGATTGTAAATATATTATTTTCGAGCTCAGGCTAATTTAAAATGGACTATGCAGTATTTGTATGTGCTGTGTATTATTATTGTTGTTGTTGTTGTTGTTGTTAATATTATTACAGTAATAATTTGAATAATATTTTTTTGTTTGTTATTGTCATTATTAATTTAAACTGTTATTAAATTATTTATTTGTGCAATAATATAGTTATTGCTATAAAAGTAGTAATTATAATAAAAAATAATCAAGTATTAATATTATAGAAATATGTATAGTTGTTGTTGTTATTATTAATTTTAACTAAATGAATTTCATTTTATTTATTAGTAGTATAATATAAAAATATAATTATTGCTATAATAATAATAATAATAATTATTATTATTATTATTAATATATTCATGTTATAAGAATAGGTGTTAGGGTTAGGGTTATTATTATTATTAACACACAACAATAAAAATAATACATCTAAAAATACATTTTTTTAATTTTATATAAAATAGTATTACATATATGGATGTATATATGATGTATATAATATATGTAAAAGCGAATGTTTCTCCAGTATTTGTGTCTATTATTGTTATTATTTATAATAACAATATTATAAATATTAATTAATAATATTATTTTTATTTTTATCTATGTTGTGCTTATTGGTCTTGTCATTACCACAGCTACATTATAAAAGCAAATGTAATTGAAATCATGCACACAGTTTTCTGTGGGTGTCATGGTGCCAATGTAGCATGCTTGAAGTTGGTTACTTGTGAGGGTCCATTTCAGTTAGGATGCTGCCTATACAGCTGCATACGTAGACAGTAGATCATGTATATGTAATACTCTATTATGGACTATATTATTGTAAATAGATTATTTTTAGGATGGAATATAGATTGTGTGGCTTAGTGATTACATTTCCTGTCTGGCAAGCCAAAGGTTTAAGGTTCAAACTCTAGAAGTAGTGTTCTGCTGTAGTAAAATGTGTGTGCTAAAAAGCATGTGCTAAATTCATCATAATGTCATGTAATTTACAACACTATTTCACCGAGGCTGATTTTTGGCTTTGATGAACTTAGGCAATGTATAAAGAATATGGATTGGAGTGTTATGCATATGATTGATCTGTTTTCACTGAAACCGAATACTCTTTTGGGGTCGTTTATCTGACTGGTATATGTGTGTAATCTACATGAGCAGTTAATGACGCTTTTACTCATTGGGGAGTGTGATAAACAGCAGGTGTTGATGTTAAAGTTGTGTGTTGCGTGTGTTTTATTGCAGGCAGCTTCAGCAGCAACAGCAGGCCGAGCTGGAGGTTCACCAGAGAGACGGACTGACTGCTTATGACCTGTCACAGGTGCGCGCGCACACACACACACACACACACACACACACTCTCTTTTCTCTCAGTCTGTCATTTAGTCTTCTAACCCTCACAGGTGCATTACTCTCTTTAGCTGGTGTAGTACGTATAATTTATCCTCCTTCATTTTATATGCAAGTCCCTCTTAAATCAGTGTCACAGCTGAAGCTGTTTTAGATTTATACTTCAAAATTGAATATCAGCCAATGAAGCTCCCAGAGGAGCATTTTATTCTCCAGAAGTGCTGTTTAATAGCTCCAGAGACTTACTGGAGTTAACACGGTGTGTTTCATTGGCTTTGTCTTTGATGATTGTTGTCATACTATATATACGATATACTCAGTACTCGATAAGAGTTATGAAATGAATGAGAATAGCAGCTCAGATGATTTGGTCTTCATTTGATGAGAAGTGTTAGAGTTCATATTGAGATCTGTGATCTTTCTCTAAATCTACAAAAACTGTACACCGGTTTTTCCGTTTTTAAATAAATAATAAATAAAAAAAAACAAAACAAAAAAAGTTTGTGCTAAAAAACATAAAATATTTGATTTGTTTAACTGTATCCAATTAATTCTCCAAATCATTTGTCCTGTGTATGGTTGCAGGGATGACTATTGCATCATCTAAATTATTATTATTATTATTATTATTATTATTTATTTTTTTCATTTACTTTTATTTTAATGAATTTAATTTCTCAGGTGGTTCTTTTTAGAAGAAGTCTCCATCTTGTTCTCTGTTTAATCTGATTGCTTTCTAGGAGAAACAATTGATATATTGAGATATTACATATATATTTTTTTTCTTTTTCACAAGCAGTAGCCTGATCTTCTCCTTTAGCTTTTCTGTTTTGTGTATCAAAGTTGTTTTATTCTTTTGACACCCTTGAAAAGGTTCATTCAAAGTCATTTGTATACATTTTAAGAAAAAAATAGTCTTAAATATTTTATTTACATTAAAGTTAATACATTAAAGTTATTAGAATTGTAATTTTAGCAACCCAAGTATGGTTTTTATAATGAAAATATGCAAAGAAGCTGGTGTGGCATTAAAAAACAAACAAACAAACATATTAGACATCTAGTAAAATACATTCTTTCTATACTAATTAGGAAAAAAGGAAACAGTTATATTACAATATTATATATTGTACACGGTTTCTGTTGCTCATTTAATTGTCATTTGCAATGCTTCATGGGATGTGTATTTCATTGTCTCATAAAATAATCTAAAGTCAGCATGAAATCAAAATTAAACATTATTTTTAATGTGTGTTTTATGCATGCAACAATTCATCCATGCGTTTATTTTTACTTTTTTCAAATTGTCATAACTTGCTCATCCTATGCTCATTTTATGACGTATACAAGCGAATTGCATTAATTTCTGCCTCTATCCCGGTATGCAATGCTCACTGTTTACATTACAATCAACAAACGAATGAAGTTCCTCCCTACTTTTTTTTTTTTATTCTTGTTTAAGTTAGAAATAAAGTCTTTTGCAACTTCCATTTCATGCCAAATTTAGGTCTGTTTTCCTGATTTTCAAGTACTTGTTTGCTTCAAATCAGAGTTTGTAATGTTTTAATTCATCTCAAAACCACTGATTTCATTCATGGCTTGGGACTCTTCATTTTTTTAAATCCTAATGGATGAATCGTTTCCAGTGCAAAGTGTGAGGTCACTGTTGTGCACTTGATGCTTTGTGACAAGTGTTAGGATGAGATGCATGCTGGAACGGCATTGTATGTTACTGTGGCTAATGACTGATAAATGCGATAGTGAATCTGCGTAACTGTAGTCGTTTCAGCCGTGGAGCGTTAACTCCCTCTCTGAGGATCTGTGCTATAAAAATAGGCCATAGTTATGAGGTGAAGTCACACATTTGGAATATGCCCTCCATCTTTATCTTTCTTTGACAACTTTTACAACTTAACACACATTTGCTTTGAGTCATAAGTGTTAATTTGGTTATGTTATATCATATGTTGTTTTTGTTAAAGGGGTCATAGTAGTCAGTCTTAATAAAGCAGAGAGGATTGTTTGTTGAAAACCGATAACGTCTCGCACACGGGATGCTGTGTGTTTACAATCTGTGAGTGTTTAACGCCTGTCTGCAATTTAGAAAGTGTTAGAAAGTGAACGTCATTATTGATTCCTGTGTTTGCCCTTACAAAACAAAAATATATGGGAATATATTGGAAAATAATATAATGTGATTATATTAAATAATAAATTTCCATATATGGGAAACTAGTGCTTGTAATTTTCAATACACTGCAGTATATGCATAAGTCATGCATGATACATATAAAAATATAAAGAAATGAAGACAAAAAACTGCACTACACTTTTGCATGTACACTGTTAAGAATGATATGGTCAGTAAGTCATGGCAACTTATGTTTTTTATGCATTTTATGAAATTTAACTGGATTTTTAAGTCGTTTTAATGTAATTTAAGTTTGAAATGACTTAAATTATATATATATATATATATATATGTATGTATGTATGTATGTATGTATATGTGTGTGTGTGTGTGTGTATATATATACATAAATATATGTGTGTGTGTGTGTAATATATATTTACCACATATATACATATATATACACACCGTACCATATATAATTACATGTACATCTGTTTATTATTAAGTGTATTATTTAATATGCAATAATATAAGTAAATATATTGTCACATTTTTCAGTATGAGAAAAACAGTTCCTTGTATATTATTCAACGTATACAATATATTGTAATATATAAACACAACATATAATTCTAGATATTTTCATTATACAATACATTTTATATACTGATTGTTAATATGTAGGGAA